CTGAGCTGTGCCAGCCCTGCCCTGGGCCATGTTCTGTCCCTGTGCCACGTTCTGTCCCTGTGCCATGCTCTGTCCCTGTGCCATGCTCTCCTCTGTGCCGCCCTGCCCTGTGCCATGCTCTGGCTGTCCCTGTACCCCCCTGAGCTGTGCCAGCCCTCCCCCGTGCCATGCTCTGTCCCCGTGCCCCCCTCCCCTGTGCCCCCCTCACCTGTGCCATGCTCTGGTTGTCCCTGTATCCCACCTGAGCTGTGCCAGCCCTCCCCTGGGCCATGTTCTGTCCCTGTGCCACCCTCACCTGTGCCGTGCTCTGGCTGTCCCTGTACCCCACCTGAGCTGTGCCAGCCCTCCCCTGTGCTGTGCTCTGTCTCTGTGCCAGCCCTCCCCTGTTCCAGCCCTCCCCTGTGCCAGCCCTGCCCTGTGCCATGTTCTGTCTCTGTGCCATGCTCTGTCCCTGTGCCATGCTCTGTCCCTGTGCCAGCCCTCATCTGTGCTGCGCTGTGTCCCTGTGCCAGCCCTGCCCCGTGCCCCCCTCCCCTGTGCCAGCCCTCCCCTGTGCCATGTTCTGTCCCTGTGCCAGACTTCCCTGTGCCATGCTCTGTCCCTGTGCTGTGCTGTGTCCCTGTGCCAGCCCTCCCCTGTGCCGTGCTCTGGCTGTCCCTGTACCCCACCTGAGCTGTGCCAGCCCTCCCCTGGGCCATGTTCTGTCCCTGTGCCAGCCCTCCCCTGTGCCACCCTCACCTGTGCTGTGCTCTGTCCCTGTGCCATGTTCTGTCCCTGTGCCACGTTCTGTCCCTGTGCCATCCTCCCCTGTGCTGTGCTCTGTCCCTGTGCCAGCCCTCCCCTGTGCCCGCCCTCCCCTGTGCCCCCCTCCCCTGTGCCGTGCTCTGTCCCTGTGCCGTCCTCTCACCCTGTGCCAGCCCTCCCCTGTGCCAGCCCTTCCCTGTGCTGTGTCCCTGTGCCAGCCCTCCTTTGTGCCGTGCTCTGTCCCTGTGCCATGCTCTCTCAATGCCAGCTCTGCCCTGTGCCATGCTCTGTCCCTGTGCCCCTCTGCCCCGTTCCCCCCTCCCCTGTGCCCCCCTGCCCCGTGCCCCCCTCCCCTGTGCCCCCCTCACCTGAGCCATGCTCTGTCCCTGTGCCCCCCTCCCCTGTGCCGTGCTCTGTCCCTGCCCTGTGCTGTGCTCTGTCCCAGCCCTCCCCTGTGCTGTGTTCTCTCCCTGTGCCCCCCTCCCCTGTGCCCCCCTCCCCTGTGCCATGCTCTGTCCTTGTGCCCCACTCCCCTGTGCCCCCCTGCCCCGTTCCCCCCTCACCTGAGCCATGCTCTGTCCCTGTGCCCCCCTGCCCTGTGCCCCCCTGCCCCGTGCCCCCTGCCCCGTGCCCCCTGCCCCGTGCCCCCCTGCCCTGTGCCCCCGTGCCCCCCTGACCTGTGCCGTGATCTTGGCGGTGGCAGCAGCGGCAGCGACGGCGGCAGCCGGGGGGGAGCCCCCCGGGCGTGGCCGGGGTGAGCAGCGGCATCGGGGGGGGTGACGGCCTTGCCCACGCGCAGGTATTGACCCCCCAGGTCAAACAGGTTCATGGAGCTCACGGCGTCCTGGGACGACTGAGCCTTCTCGTACTCTGTGGGGAGGGGATTCATAAATATCCTCTCATTGTTCAGCCATGGAATCATGGAATGGTTTGGGATTGAAGGGACCTCAACGCCCACCCAGTCCCACCCCCTGCCAAGGCACGTTTCCTGCTGTTACAGGTTCCCCCAAGCCCTGTCCAGCCTGGCCTTGGACATCCCCAGGGATGGGGCAGCTCTGGGAAATCCAGCCCAGCCCCTCCCAGAGGAATTCCTTCCCAATATCCCATCTCTCCCTGCCCTCTGGCACTGGGAAGCCATTCCCTGTGTCCTGTCCCTCCATCCCTTGTCCCCAGTCTGCAGGGAGGGGGATTCACACACATCCTCTCATTGTTCAGCCACGGAATACTTTGGGATGAAGGGACCTCAACGCCCACCCAGCCCCACCCCCTGCCAAGGCACCTTTCCTGCTGTCCCAGGTTGCTCCAAGCCCTGTCCAGCCTGGCCTTGGACATTCTCAGGGATGGGGCAGCCACAGCTGCTCTGGGAAATCCAGCCCAGCCCCTCCCAGAGGAATTCCTTCCCAATATCCCACCTAACCCTGCCCTCTGGCACTGGGAAGCCATTCCCTGTGTGCTGTCCCTCCATCCCTTGTCCCCAGTCCCTCTCCAGCTCTCCTGGAGCCCCTTCAGGCCCTGCAAGGGGCTCTCAGGTCTCCCTGGATCCTTCTCTTCTCCAGAGGAACCCCCCCAGCTCTCCCAGCCTGGCTCTGGAGCAGAGGGGTCCAGCCTGTGCCTGTGCCAGGGCCTCACCACTGCTATAAATTATATATCTAAGATCAGGCCCAGACCTGCCCCAAATTCATTCCCATCCCAATGCTCAATGCAATTCCTCCCCTGGAGTGGGAAACCCAACCCCAAACCATCCCAATGCTCAATGCAACTCCTCCCCTGGAGTGGGAAACCCAACCCCAAACCATCCCGAGAGCCGAGGACGCTCCCCCCTGCCCCAAATTCATTCCCATCCCAATGCTCAATGCAATTCCTCCCCTGGAGTGGGAAATCCAACCCCAAAGCACCCCGAGAGCCGAGGACACTCCCCCCTCTCCCCATCCCACACCCAGCCGATGGGTTTGTACCGATGAATCCGTAGCCTTTGTGCTTCCCCGTGGTGGGGTCTCTGGCCAGGGTGCAGGATTTGATCTTGCCAAAGGCCTCGAAGACGCTCTTGATGTCGTCGTCGGACAGGTCCTGGTGCACCGAGGCCACGTAGATGCGGTTGAAGGCCCGGGCCTCCTCTGCCAGCTGGTCGATGATGGGCTGGGCCTGCCCGATGTTGCTGGGCCTGCCCACCTGAGGGACAGGGGTGGGATGGGCATGGGAAGGGGCTGCAGCACCCAGAGGGAGCTGGGGGAGGGCTCAGCCTGGAGAAAAGGAGGCTCAGGGGGGAACTTCTGGCTCTGGAAGTCCCTGACAGGAGGGGGGAGCCGGGAGGGGGTCGGGCTCTGCTGACAGGGAACCGCCTCAAGCTGTGCCAGGGGAGGGTCAGGTTGGACA